CCCCCCCCCCGGGTGGGGAGGTACAGTGTGGACCACAGGACCCACCTGTAGAGAACAGGATTTTCCGTGACCCAGTCATTGGGTAGGCTGTGCGCCCACTTCCGCTGCCGAGGACACATCATCTCCCCTTCAGGAATATCCATCTTCTTCATCAAGGGTTTCCTGCCATTCTTTGGGGTCATGGAACTCTCCACAGCGCGCTTCCTGGTGGCTGCCAGAGAGCGGACCAGCTGCACCTGAATGCACAAAAGATCCGGTGGGGGGTCGGGACTGCAGACTCCTCAGCACCCAGGGCTCACTCTGCAGTCTTAGAAGGACACGTGAGAACTTGCCAGCAGGAAGGCACTTTACAGGGAGGCCTTCAACCCTAGGGTACATTCCATGCAAGTACCCCCCAGAAGACATTCAGCCATCTAGAAGGGTATCTGTTAAGAAATTTAGTGAGGACCAAGATGCTTATCCTAGCATCTTTTATAATCACAAGGAATGAGAAAAACGGGGCTGTCCGATAGCAGGGGACTGGTCGAGTAAACTTCTTATGTCCCTCCAGTATAATGCTAGGCATTTATTAAGAATGAGACTTACAAAGGACTATTTATGACATAGGGAAATGCTTACGATATGATATACCATAAAACATATTAATTAAAAGCGCAACTTAAAAAAATTATAACCCAAACTATACAGTATGATCTCAAAATTTTAAACTCATAGAAAAATGACCAGGAGAAAGTGTGCCAAATGTTAAGAATGGTGTGCTGCCTCCAGGCAGCAGGATCATGTGAGTAATTTGTTTCTTTGGCCTCCTTATACTTTTATAATTTCCAAGCCTCCTACATAGAGCGTTATTTAGGGCTCAAAGTAGGAATGAAAATTCCTTTTAAATAAGCAGTACAGAACGTCAAAGGGAAGGTTCGAGTTTGTGTATTTAAGATACTGTTCTTGTCTGTGCAGTTTTGTACAGACAAGTTTTTTATAGGCAAGGCAATTCCAGCAACCTATTTGGCTGTCAAGAGAGTGTTACTTTAATACACTATGGGAAGTCCTGGATTAACAACTGGGCAGCCTCTAAACATCTTGAAGTTGCATTAATGCCCCTTGACATGCAAAAGGTCTGTGCAATACTGTTAACAGGGAGGAAGCAGGTTTCAAAACACTGTTATAGAATCAAACCCAGGTTTTAAAAAGAAAAATTAGAAACGCTTTGGTGCATAGGAAAAGGTCCCAAGACACCCACTGGTTAATTTTGGCGATTTCTGAATAATTTAACTTTTAATTTAACTAAAACTTTAATGTACATTTTTTAATTTTCAAGAATAGACATTCTAATATTGTATTCCTACACTTTAAGAACCAATAAGAATTATTTTTTAAATCAAAACAATTTCAAAGCCCTTATTTCATTGGGTTCCCGGACAAAGAAGCCTTCAGAGGGAGGGAGGTTTGGGGTGCAGAGGGAAGAGGGCACAGAGGGACACAAGGGACACACCTACCTCAGCCTCGAAGATCTGCTGGTAGACCTTCCCGCTGGGAACCTGGGTCACCTTCCCCACTGAGGACATCTTGGCCGCTGGCTGAACGGGGCGCCCCTGTTAGGAATTC